TCTCCTGTTTTTTTCACTCAGTAAGAATCGCACAACTTCAGGGTATCGGCGAACTACAGGCCAAGATGTGGTTATAGATATTTTTTCTTGTATCGCCTCTATGGAAAAAATTATGTAAGCTTAAGAAGGATGATATAGTTGAAATAGGAAAGGAATTAGAACTAGAGGTAACGAAGTCTATGAGAAAAACTCAGCTAGTCAGGATAGTCTGTGAGCATATGGTAGATAACGGCGTTTTTCGGCGAGAAGAATTAAGTAAATTATCACTAGACACGTCGGAACTTTCGTGAGGCACAACTCGAGCTCGAGAAAGTGAAAATTGAGGCCGAGGCTAAGGTCAGAGCCGAAGCTGAAAGAGCAAAGGCTGAAATAGCAAAAGCTAGAATCGAGCAAGAAACTAGATTTCGGGAGTTAGATTTAAAAGCCGGAACTTCAATTGGCTAGAAGTAGTGAGTTCGACTTAGCGGCAAGTCCGACTGCATACCGCAGTTTAACGAGGCTGAAAATGAAAAAACAAATATTTTCAGCATTTAAAAGGTCGCCTCAAACCTAGCATGGCCCATAGAATATATGGCCAATTTTACTGCAGACCGCACTAAAAGGCAAAGCTCAAGAAACACACATGCCGCGCTCTCAGTAGCAGATTGCGCTGAATATAGCATTGTGAAATCGGCCATTTTAAAGTCAGATGAGCTTGTGCCGAGGCATACCGCAAAAAATTCAAGAGCCTTGTTCAAAAGGGAGACAAACAGACTTATGTAGAATTTCCTAGACAAAAAAGAAACCTATTTCGATAGATGGAGTTTAATAAAACATCGAGGCAGATCAAATAGGCTAAGGCAAATGATACTGATAGAGGAGTTCAAAGAATGTGTCCCTGATAATTTGGAAACCTACCTCGATGAAAAAAGGGTAGATACTTTATATGAGATGGCCACCCTCGCTGACGAATACGCATTAACACATAAACAAATTGGGGCAATTTTATATGTTACGAACTTGTAGCATATAGATGAACCACGGGTTCTAAAAAAAAAAAAGGAAAACGTGGTTTCTTTTTCTCGGTCTTCACTCAGAAATGGAAGCGACACAAGGGAATCAACGAAGAACAGACACAAGACGATGGCTTTCAAAATTAAACATTTATTTATAAATATATATATAGTGAAAGAAAGAAAAAAAAAAAAACATTCATTTAACAAAGGGGAGGACATCAGTAAAAAGAATAGAAGGCGCGAGCGAATACATACATATATGAAAATAGATCGAGCCAAAAGAACCAACTTATCTTGCAGTCGGGCTGGTATCTTCACAAAGTTTTGATTCTGCCGAAGCGAGAGTTCTGATGATAAATCAGTATCTTGGCCGGCCGACAATGTTCCTGGATTCTTCTTTTTTCGCATAAGTGTTCAATCACTGGTCGATAGAACCGTGGTCTTCCTCATCTCAGTGGCGGGTCTGACGATTTTTGCCCAGCGATGTTCAACTGCCGCTGGTCAGAGGGAAACTGAAAAATCCTTCTTTGGTTTTCGCTGTCCCCACAGACAGTCACGTGGGTTCCCTTCGTCCTTGACCGGGTACGCAGGGAGAATAGGGGCGCAAATCACGCAGTGTTTGTGTGATGGCCAAAAGTTCAACGCATGCTCCGCGACGTCCCGATCACGTGAATCGCAGCATGAGACCCTGATGGTGTCTGGAGTTTACTCATGGTCAAACGCGAAATCTTAGAACCAGGTCATCCTCGCGTCTGGTCACTTCTAAGTTCACGGGCCCTTGGCTGGCGGGTGGAAGAGAGGATAGGGAGAGAAAGAATTTGTGAAGAGAAGGGGGGTATGGCTGATCATAGAATATATTCGCTCATGAATCGGAAGCATTGGATTAAATTTCTGTTTTTATCTATTTATTTATCTTTCTTTTATATCTAACTAATTTTCTCTTTATTTAAGATTTTACTTTAGCCTAACGCCTATATGGTTAATGAAATCGTTGCTACGTGACATTAGTTAATCATTGAGCATTCTCTAAGGATTTGTTATCAGTGATTTGACTTTCTAACCCTGGTAGGAACTCTAGTAGGTATGAAGCAAGATGAGCTTAGTTTAGTACAAGGCCATTATGGAGGGGGTGCCAAGTAAAAATCAACTTCACTACACAGTAGTAATAGTCTGAGAGTCTATCAGAATTAGTTGGGAACTGGTAATAGTGTTTTAAATGGTTGAATCCATGTAAATTTCTCTTCCAGAAATTGCATTGCATCATTTACCCCAATGATAGACTTGGCTTTACTTTTTCGTTTACTTTCAAAATAGAAATAATGTCAATCAAATTTACATATGTTATTTGGGCTTCCTTTCTTACCCAGTTTTCTTTCTTTTAATGTTCTAATGTATGTAATTTTTTAAAAATATTTTTAAATAAAAAAAAAAAAAACTATCCTGATTTTATGAATAATTAAAAAGACCAACATTTGAAACATTTTCCTTAAAAACTTGTATCTTCCATATTGATTGGCACTGTTCTTATTTTGAAAATTAGATAGATCAAACCTTTTCACAGATAAATTTGTTTTATTGTTTAAAGTAAATGGAGCATCTACCCAAATTTTGAAATAATAAAGATGTCATTGGAAATGTTATTTACTGTATCCATAGAAATTCAAAATAAACAAAATAACAAAACTGATTCTATATCATGTTTTTTCTACATACATCCTCTAAAAAGGAAACCATTGTTTTGTTTACGTTTCATTCCATGATCTCTTGTGAATACTGATTCTTCTTCCTCTTCTATATCTAAAGTTACAAACAGCCTGGTGTACTAATGGCCATTTACTTACACTTCCACAATCACAAAATACCACGAATAACAGTATGATGATAGTTCATTCTTCTTTCAATTTTTTTTTTTTTTTTTTATTCTTATTCAGTCTTTTATTCATTATTTATCAGAATTGTAGTACAAGACATCTCACAATTATTAAGGGTAATTTTTTGGGATTTAAAGGTTGTCTTTTATACATGGAGATATATATATATATATATATATATATATATATATATATATATATATATATATATGGAATTAATAATTTTTTTTTTTATGTATTCAGATCAGTAAAACAATTTAACAGCCAAAAAGAAAGAAAAACCTTAAGAGATTTAACATTAATGGTTAGAATTTCCAATTTCTTGTTAAAAACATTGACACATAAACTGTAGCTGTAATGTGATAAAATATTGATGAGCAGTTGGTTTTGTCTATTATTAATTCTTAGAAAAATAAGTCCATCATAAAAGACCTAAATGAATGAATAACAATGCAGACCCCACAGTCAATAATGTAGACTTAGAAGGTTAAATTGTTAATTGTTTCTATGGGTCTCCTTAAAAGCATATTTGGTTGAAATCAAATCACTAGCTTGGAATATTTTACCACGCCATCTTAATTCAATCATCTTAGTGACTTAAAATTTCAATTTAATTAAATAACCTCAACAGTTTTTTAGGGGAGAAGATCAAGAGAATTGCATAATGAGGTTTTATGGTTGCAATTAATGAGGTTTGTTTTTGACAAATCAGTTAAAATTTTAACCAATGGTTTTCTTTGGACCAATTTTGTTAGTCGTTTATTTTGTATAGTTGTAATGACAGCGGTAATCCTGGTGATAGCGTAATGACAGCGGTAATCCTGGTGATAGCGTAATGACAGCGGTAATCCTGGTGATAGCGTAATGACAGCGGTAATCCTGGTGATAGCGTAATAGAATTGTTATGGATTTGCTTTTAATGATAATTTTTTCTAATAAAGATATAAATTCATTAATAAACAATAAATCAAGTAATCTTTTTTTTTTTTTCTTTTTTTTTTTTTTTTTTTTATGAAAACCCAAAAAACTTTCAGAAATGAAAATCTACATTTGCTAGATTTTCCTAATTTGCTATGAGAAATATCAACATTAGTTAGTTTTTTATTTCCAAGTGTTATCTGTTATCTGAGTGTTACTTTCAGAACAGATAATGGTTTTCTTTGAGTAACTCAGTAATTCTGAAAGCCATCAGCAAAAGAATTTCTTATAAAATCCATATAAGACCAAATTGGAAATTAATAATAAAACAGTTATTTTTTTAAATTTGATTTTTAAAGCTATTTGAATTGGTTATCTCCCTTCAGCAAGAACCTCTAAGTAGAGCCAGATATAAGACACATTCTTGGGCACCTCGAGATGGTGTGATAGTTAGCAAGCTTGTCTCGCTAGAATGATTATGACTGAGTAGTGAGTTCGATTCTCACTGGGTGCCCTCTACTTTCGGCCTTGAACAAAATCTAAGCTATGTTTGGAAAATCAATATAAGAAACATGCTGGGGATATGAATGACAAAAACTGCATTTATTTGATGTTACCCTTTTACATAACCATCCATTCATGCAACCGGCTTGATATTTATTTAATGTCCAGGATTTTAAACCAAAAAATTGAGCTTTATATGTTAGATGTGAATGATTATTAAAATCATTCACGTCTAATCTAGATTATTAAAAACTAGATTAGACACGAATGATTCGAAGCAAAACTAATTGCAATCAGGAATTTACTTTTTTTTTTTCTTCATTCACTGATATTCAAAGCAATATATAGAAAGTAAACAATCATTTAATATTTTTTCCCTTCAAATTGTTCAGTGAAAAGCTTGACTTTTGTCACTATTTGTACACCAGAGAAGTTTTATCTTTTCAATTTTAAAGGAATTCATTTTAAGGCTTTTTTATCTGGCATGTTCCTATATGTCCATTTTTTTTCTCTTAATCTGTCTAAAAATATACTTTGCTTGTTTCATTAATTCAATTTCTATTTCAACCTGACACTTCTCATTGGGTAAGGCAGAAAAGAAACCTGAAAAAAATGGAAGCCTGTTCAGCACCATGACCCATGTTTGTGTCAGTATGCCTAAGACAATATTTTTTTTTTTGTTTTATTTTCTTTTTCTGTTTTTGTTTATCAGGATCACAGTGTACTTTATTGATCGAGATGGGGATCAAATTGCTGCCCCTGCGGCTGTAGGAGAATCTTTACTAGACGTGGCGCTAAACAATAGCATAGAACTTGAAGGTACTTATCGCCTCTTGAGGGCATTTTCATGTTTTCTTCCTGGCTCTCTTCTCCCCTTTTAAAGTTGGATGTTTTTTTTTTTTTTTTCCTTTTATATTCCAGAATAACAATCTATTTTGTGAATGCAGAGGGTGAAAAAACTGCCACAGAAGCCAAAGTAAACAGCACCCTATTGGATGTGGTCATTGATAATGACCTTGACATTGCTGGCTTTGGTTAGTGAGATTTTTTTTTTAATTCTGTCAGTGTTAAAATTGAAAGAGCATTGTGATCATGTTCTTGTGTTTAGGTACAGAAAGCAGAATCTAATGAAAATTGAGATATGAATGCATCAAAGAGTTCCAAATTCTTTGTACGTGTTATGATTTTGGAAAATTCCCTATTTGTTAACACCTTCAGCACCAATGTTTTGTGTGGCTCATGCACAAACAGAATTACCTGTAGACTGTAAATAGCATCTCTGCAGAACAGGTATGATCCATGTTGATATTTGGATGAAAGAGAAATGTGATTCAACTTTCAAAAAGAGCTATAGGCTTAAAAATGTTCTTGAATTTGAAATCTTTTGTTTTATTTTTTTATTTTTTTTAAATATTTGAAGTCTTGAAAGTAATGCTCTGCTTTTTAGAAACTAAAATAAAAACTCAGTTCAAATGTTAGCAATATACAAATCATAAACACCGCCTGCTATGAATTAAATAGTAGGTTAGTCTAGGCCCAGTACAAGACTTGATAGCCACTGAAGATATAGGGTTACTGAATGAGGCCATGTGATATGACTGTAAGAGGAGGTAGTGGAAAAGGAAGATTTTAGGATCATGATTTGAACCAGTCCAAGAAAAGGGGAAACTCTGATTTCAAAACTATGTAAAAAGCAACAGGAAATCCCTTCACTATTTTCCCAAAGATGTGATGGCAATTCAGGGAAGAAAAAAACAACAAAAAAACGAATCTTGGGCAAAACATGAAACTGAATGCACATGGTTAAAAAAGAAAAAAAAATTAAGTTCTTTTTCCTTGTTAAAATTTGAGATTTGTAAAGAAAAGCTCATGTTGATTTTAAGATTTATTTACAAAAGGTCGTGGTGAGCAATCAGTGAAATATAAGTGTTATCTTTTTGCAGTGATCTTATAAAAAAAAAAACAAAAAAAACAAATTGGTCATGTTGGATTTTTAAAGAAAAGTTTTTATCAAATAGAAATACTTGTAAAAATTTCATGGGTTTGCTATTTGAATTTCTGATGAATCCTAATTTGTAATTTAACTATTGAATAAGCTCATGGCAAGTTCTCTAACTATAAAATATTCATGGAAATTCCCTTATTGCATTGTTAAATAATTTGAGCTTAACAACTTTAACCAAATATTGCAATAACAATCATGAGTAGACAAGTTAACAATAGCGGAAATAATTCTATGTAATGGTTTTCATCCTTTAGAACTTCATTGAACGGAAGTAATTTTTCATGGTTTATGAAATTCTGTATGTGTAGAAAGTGGGGGATACAAGATGACAAATGTTGTTTATAATTAAGCAGACAGGAAATGGTGAAATTTTAATATTTCAAATTATTTTTTATTTTTTTTTATTTTATTTTTTTAAGATGTGCCTGGGTAAGTAATCTAGCCAATTTCATCCAGTTTCTTTATGCTTTTGTTTTCATCATTTTTTATTATGAAGTATGCCACATTGTAAAAGTATATAGAAAGTGCTTTGATTGCTAGATCATCCACTGTAAATTTGTATCCACTTCTTACATTTAACCTTTCTAAAGCAATACAATGTGAGTGGGAGTAGATCAAATGGTGGGGAGTAAGATGCACAAACAGCACTACAGGAGATGAGCCTGACTGTTTATGTCTTTCCTCAGTGTCAATTAGCAAAGAAGTAAAAAATAAAAATCCCTGATTAAGTCAAGAAGAGTTGTTATTAATCCTAAAAAAATCTGATTCATCAAAGGGGATAATCCCCTAAAGTTCTTCTGATTTAACTTCCAGCTTCTTGCTGTTTTTCTGATATTTTAGCCATTCTCTTGCCTTTCCTCAAATAATCCAGTTGCAGATTTTTTTATTTTTTTTTTTTTTTAAATTTAAACTTTTTTTTATTTATATTTGATTTAGCCAATTTAATTCAGTTTCTTTATGCTTTTTGTTTTCACATTTTTATTTTTATTTTATGAAGTATCCTACATTGTGGAAGTGTTTATAAAAATAGAAAGTGCTTTGATCACAGTAGATTTGCACCCAGGATCTTACAGTTCACCTCTCTTGTCAAGTCTTCTATTATCACGATGTGGGACATTTGATAATAAAAGTGATAAAAACAAAAGCATGGAGAAACTGAATGGAATTGGCTAGACTACATACCCACATAAATCTAAAAAAAAGTTCTTAAGATTTCAACATTTCCAGTATCTTTTTCAGTGTTTGGGCAAAATCATAACCAATGTTTCCTTTCTTATATTCCTCTTCTCCTTCCTACACATATATAGAATTTCATCAGCAAAAACATTACTTTAGTTTGAAGTCCTAAAAGATGAAGCACATCACACAGAATTTTTTCTTCTTTGTCATTAATTTGCTTAACACTGTTCTGATATATAAAAATTAATATCATATTGTTCTAGTCATAAGTATGAATGCAAGTAATTAATTATTCAAAGAAGTAAGAGGGTACAAATGAAAAGATTTGAAATTGACAGTTTTCCATTTCACTAAAGCAGAAGTTAAACACATAAGAGCATTATCGCCACTTTTTTTTTCTTTCTGTCACTTTCTCTCACTGAAACCAAACAGCTTCTCTAATAAATCTTTTCTCTTTTTCCTCGTCATTAAAACAGAATAACATATTATTTAGGAAATATTAGCAGGACATAATATAGATGCTAATGAACAAGCAAAATTATAATATGATGCTACTTTCTTTTCTTTTTTCTTCATTCTAAGAAAGGTGATAATGCCACTGAGATGCAAAGAGGTTACTGAGAATGAAAGAAAATAAGAAGCTGTTAGTGTGAAGAAAAGATGATGAACATAATTTAAGAAGACAGGTGGTGGTGATATTGCATTTGAAAAGAAACTATTGGAATAGAACTTATGGTTACATCTATTTCCACAGTAAAACAATGAGTCCTTGTTACCAATCTTGATAAAATCCAAAGCAGCAGCAATATTATCAGTACTGATCTGGCAGCTCAGCTTCAGCCATTTTACCATCACCTTAAAGTTGCCTCCTTGTGTTTTTTCTATAAATACTTTCATAGTGATGCTTAGATGTTATGAATTTAAGCACAGTACTTGACTGATGTTGACATCTCATCAATTTGTTGGCTAGATTTAACTGCAAATTCTATGCTAACAGTTTTTCTCACACTTTTTGCTTGTGGAACTCCCTTCTGGTTCCATGCTTTCCGGACAGCATTAATCTTCAAAAATTTAAATGTAATATCAGTTGCTATCTATTGTCTTCCTCATTACTCTTTTTGTTCCCACCCATTAGTAATGTTTCTGTTATTAATTCTTCCATACCCAGTAATCCCTTGTGTCTTAGTGACTTTACTACCTTGCTTGAGGTGAAATTGGTTAAAAAAAAAAAAAAATGTAGTAATACTCTTAAATTCATGTGGTTGAAGTACTAAAGAGGAAACTATGTCCTTATAGAAAAGGGACAGGGAAGGTGCATCACATCAGTAGAAAAATGACTGAAGCTGAGATACAAGGGCAGCACCGATAACTTTGCAGACCCTTCATTAGATTTTATCCAGAATCTCAAGGATATAGCAGCAGATATATATATATATATATATATGTATGTATGTATATATATACTACTGTAACGTAGCTTCTGTCTGCTGTTTCTATAAATACTTTCATGGTAATTGTTCTGATGAACTTTCTTCTATGGTACCTAAACTTCGTGAATTTAAGCACAGTGATAGATTGGTGGCAAGGTTTCATCATTTTATAGATGGCTAGATGGAACTGTAAGTTCTATGCTAACAGTTTCTTCTATTGCACTTATTGATTGTGGAACACTCTTCTGGCATCTTGCTTTCCAGTCAAGTTTAATTTCAAAAATTTAAATGCAATGTCAATCATTATCTTTGTCTTAATTCCTGTTCTTTTATTGTGATTTCTCCTTAATGATATTTTTATATATATATATATATATATATATATATATATATATATATATATATTAGTGTCAATGCTCTCATAATGAAACTGCTCTCTATTAATTGTCTGAAGAGCCTTTTCTGTCTTCCACTAATGTGGCTGATGCTAACCTCCAGGTTCAGGCTAATGTTTTCTGCTGACATTAAATGAGAAGATTATATTGAATTAATTGCTAGATAATTTTTCTCATCAGAATCAGTCTTGCATATCTATAAGTCCATACTTTGAATATTGCTGCCACATCTGGTCAGGTGTTCCTGCTATGTACTTAGATACTTGATAAAATCCAAAGAATCTGCAATATCATCAGTTCTGACCTGACATCTTGTCCTCAGTCACTTTTCCACTGCTGTAATATAGCTTCCCTGTGCCTTTTCTATAAATATTTTCATGGTAATTGTTCTGATTAGTGTTCCTTTATGGTACCAAGTCTTTATGAATTTAAGTGCAGTACTAGATTGGCAGCTAGGTGTCATCATTTTACAGTTGAAATGGCTATATGTATTGCACTTCTTGATTGTGGGACTCTTTTCTGTCTTCTTGCTTCCCTGTCAATTTGGCATGAAATCAATATCAACTGTTATCTTCTGCCTTTTAATTGTTCTTTTATTGTCCTCTCTCTTTAATATAGCTATCTCTTATTTGCTAACATTCATTAACCCTGTGTATCTTAGTAGCTTTATTGCCTTGCTTTAGGTAAAATTATTAAAAAAACCTATAGCAGACCAGATATGGCAGCAATATTCATTGCACTGATGTATGGTAGATTTATAAATATGCAAGATGTATTCTGGCAAGAAAAATTGTTAGCACAATGCAGTGAACCAACTTTCCTTGTCGCTAGCCTTGCATTTGGTTCAATATAATCCTTCCATCTCATGTCCATGGAAAATGGAGACCAAGACACAATGCATTGGTCTCTTGGGGGTTAGCATTAGCCATGCCTGATCGAAGACAAAAAGTGTTCTCTATGATTACTAAAAGGCAGCAGTTTCATTTTCAAGTCATTAAAATTTACAAGCCATTCCTTGTCCCAAT